AAAAAAAGGGCATGCTCAGACTGCTTTACCAATCTTTTGGGGACAGAGACACTTTGGGCAACAAACTGAATCTAGGGTTAATGCTTAGGCAATTTAATTTTAATTGAGAATTATATGAGGTGTTAGTGCTTTAATATTATGATTTATTTCCAAAGATAATTAACATGGCGTTTTTAGATGTGTTCTTAGCTAGCCAACAAATACTTTCAATGGGTACCTTCAACTTTCCTCAGCCATACCTGTTATTATTGGAGTGATTCGGTACTATTTCTAAATAACGGCATTCCTCGATGAAGAGGAGTCTGGATTTCAAAAGCAAGTTGTTAGTATTTAGACATGCATCAAAATGTGTATCTCATTTCTGTGTCCTAATTACAACTTCCTGATCCAGATCCTCCCTATCTTTTTTTTCCCCAATTTCAATTATTAATTTCTAAGATCTGTCTCCAATTTGTGCATTGTATACTGGCAGGAAATTTTGCTGTTTCACATATCCCACTAAAGAGGCCTTTTGTCAAGGGAGGATAAACAGGTCTGAAAATGTATTAAAGTGAGTAAGCAGTCTGAGAGCAAAATTCTGGTAACAAAGACATCTTTGATCATTTAAATCCATAACTGTTACTGAAATCATAAAAACTTACTGTTGCTTCTTCCTCCTTTTCATCCCGTTTGTCTTCTTCTTCATCACTTTCTGCTGCACCTCCATCTTCCTCATCACTGCTAGAGGACTCCAGAATTTCACTCATGTCCATTTTCCAGTTACCAGGAACACCTTTTGTACTGAAGAAAGTGCTTGCTTCCTGTAATCCTAAAGAGGAACAGGCCCTGCATGTTTACCAATTCTTGGCACTAAGAATTGAAACACTGCTAATGACTAAATATTTCTATTTTTCTTTAATTCAGATGTAATCCACTGGAAAGTGAAAAAGAAATTCAAACTCTCAAAAGGTAATAAAAAGTGAATGCTTCAGTTTTAAATGCACATTCTTCGTATGCAACATATGTTGGCTAGGTAAAAGCCTACAGACATCTCCACAGCGTGGGCACGTATTACTTGTTGGGAATGTTACATTTAAAAAACAACCACTGACCACTAGTAACGTAATACATACTATACTTCTCCAACACTCAGATTCCTAGGCAAACATCTCTAAAGGACAGAGTTAACAGTTTTACCTTTTTACATGCCCAGTATCCAAAGCAAACTTTGGAAAACACTGGTTTTACTCTGCTTCATACGTACACATCTCTTGGATTCAGTGTGATCTTTGCCTGATAAAAGCATACAGAATCATATATGAAGACCTTTCAGATATGGAACCAATAATGCCTGGAGAACAACTAGCTACCATTCTGGAATCAGCCACTTGATCGCAGAGAGTACTGAGAGTACCTGCTGTATACAATTTGCCTATCATTCTCGAGAGGCATTGTGTGCAACTAAAACTCCAAAGCCCCTACATGATCAGCATTTAAACAAAATAAAATTGGCCATTTAGATTCTAAAAAATAACCTTGCTGTCCTTTGATAAGACAACAGAAGTTTCTTTGCTCGCCTCAGAGAATATCCATGGAAGACAATACATTGCCTAAAAAACACAGCCCTACCTAGGAAAACAGAGTTTTTAACATTCAGAAAAGAGGAAGGATATTACAGTGGGCAGAATGCCAGCTGGAAATCCAGATCTCCCGAGCTGAATTCCTTCCTCCACCACAGATCATCCACTTAAACTTGTGGGGGGTCACTTAGGGTGACATGCTACTTCTTTTTAGTCAATATCTGTTCTATTAATATTGACCTAATGGCAATGTAAGACAACCAAATGGAAACAGAATGTCACTCTAGATGACCAAATGAGAATAACGCAATATCCTTACTTCACCCGGATATTGCAAGAACAAATACATTAAAGGTTGCGAGATTCAGCTATGATAGCAGAAGGGCCAGATAGGAGACAGACTAAGGTGGAAACTCTAGGAAGCTAATCATCCTGGAGAATGCTAGGACAAACTACTAGCACTTGCTTAGCTTCAGCAATTGATGAAACCGCAAATCTCTGCTTTGCAAAAATCAAATTTCATTTTGGCAATTCTCCTGTGCATGAAGGTGGCTTCCCTGTCTCAGCCTCTTATTTTTAGAGGTAAAATTTCTCCCTGGAGGGCAAAACACACATGCACACACAGAGTTAAAGTGTTACAGAGATTTGAGGAAAATTTATAGCAGTTGATGATCTGCCGCTTGCACAAACTCAGAGGAGGGAATTTATAGTGACATTTCACATTCAAGTATTAACTTTTGTAAGATTTTAAAATCAAGTGATCATGTTGTACATTTCAGGCAGGAGAGTTTAAAAACATTATTTCTCTTCATTATTTGGGGACGGTTGTGGCAAAATGACAAAAAGGAGAATTTCTGAACACTCACGAACAGTTCATTTTTACAGAGTCATAATTCAGGAACCCCTTGCACAAAGGCTTCTAGGATTTTATTTAAAACATTCTAAAAGGGGGCCCAGACTTATTCTAGCAGGTTGAAGTCCAGCAGGACCTTCTGTGTATTTTAGGCCAGAGAGATCAGTTGTAAATTTAAATATGGAATAATAGTACTTACTTCTGCTTCATAATTAAGACGCATTTGAAGCAAAAACACTTCATAACTGAGCATACTTAAACTGTGTAGCAGCAGTAGTAGTATAAAGTAGCAGCATCATTAATGTTCAATATAAATATTCAATAATAAGTTCATAGGAATTAACTACAGTCACATAAAATGAGAAACTAGAAACAGGATTGGATTCATTGTATTTAAATACTCCAAAGACTGACTTTTATGACTTGAGATAAGAGAGATTCTTATCCACTAGAGAACTACATAGTTCAACATACACAAAAAGTCAGCATACTATAACATGTCCTTAATGGCAGGAATCCTACTAACTGCCTATGGCATTCTTGGCAAAGTTCTTGACTACTTTTTACCTTACTATCTCAACAATATGTGCAAATGGAAACATGTATGGTTTAATATAAGTAGTTCCCCCTAGATTAACTTTTGAATGATCTAGAGGAGATATATTCTAGTTTACCTCTTTTAGTAGAAAGCTCAGATTTTGGTAGATTTATAATATCTAGTTCCTTGATGTCCTTTCTTGCTATTGAATAACTGGAAGAGAGGAAATATGTAATTAAAAAAAAACAAAGGTAATAAATACTCTACAGATGAAAAAGGCCATTTCTTAACATTACAGAACCTTCATAAACTTTCAACAATTTTGTCCTTTCCAATCATACAGATGGCATTAGCCAAAGTGCACAATACAGAGTAATAAATGCAGGGAATCCCATTCATTCCCATATAAAACATTTTTATTTGAAAGTTATGCAAATAATTGAACACAATTAAAATTATTTGAAATTATTAAATAATCCAAAACTATGCCCTGTTGTGTTAGAATCAATCTCTATCATGCTTAATAGAAATAGTTCTGTTTTTTTGGTTTGCATTTATAACTTAATCTGCAATTATTATTATTATATACTTTTATATTCCTTCTTCAATTAAATGCCGCTGGCTTACTTTGCAAAAGCTAGTTTGGATACTGTTTTCCTAGGATGTAACACTTCCAAGACAAGTTAAAAGAAAATTCAATATTAAGCAGTCCCTCCTTCTAGATCTATTGAAAAGAATTCTTGATTTGGTATGTTACCCACTGAGGAGGAATGGAGGTGAAAAAATGAAGTTTGTAACTATAAATACAGCAGGCAGTTTATAAAAACTAGCATACCCGGTATCAATCTGCCTATTTTACAAAACACTGTAAAACAACCTACGTATAAACAATCTACACATAAACAAATAAATGCATGTCATAATTTTAAACCAAGTTTGCTAGCACCAAACAAGAATTGTGAAGCCAATGCTAAACATCTATATTAAAAAATGTAATTAAAAAATGGACAAAAATTCTCCGATAATATATATGGAAGTTTTCACCATATAATTTTATTTTTAATCTTTTGTAGGAGAAAACAGTAAAAAACAAAGTTATCTTGATTAAATTTGCAGTAACATAGTCTATATCATTTATAGCAATCATTTAGGCTATGCCTGCGTAGATTATTGGTGCATGCCTTAGTGTGTATTAGGTGGCCAAAAGGACCACTACTTAAGTACGCGTGAAGCATGCATCAGTTGCCAACTAATTCACAGGCTGTTGCTATTAGAACTGAAGATTGTTAAATATTTTTTTAATGTATTATTAGAGTGATGTTCTGTGTCAGAACAGTACTGAGCTGCGTTTACCATGAGAAGATGAAAAAGCTGACAGGATAAACGTTAAGCTGATTTTCTATATTACTTTGAATATGTTTATTGGTTGTTAAATTTACTATATATTCTCTTATATTTTAAAATGCACTGCGTCAACCAGAGCTTCTTTCCCTCTCACCCCCCCGCCTATATCCCAGAAACCCAGATGCTTTTTGTAGCAGCGTGTTGTTCAACAAGTCTTTCTAATACAGTTGTTTTTATTTTAAAATCCAAGAAATTGTAGCAACACAAGTAAGTTGTTGGGTTTTTTTTAATTTTAGGAGACTTAGATTTTTATAAAATCTTGTTTTGATATCTGTGTTGTACTTTTGTGCATGTTTGTTGTAATTTTTTTTGTTTAGCTGTCCCTAGAGTCTCATACAAGGTGAGGTAAGAAAGTTAAAGGCCCTAGGGACAACTAAACAAAAAAAATTACAACAAACATGCACAAAAATAAAACACAATCTGTCTCCTAAATTTTTTTTTTTAATTTCCATATGAAAATTTTTATAAAATGAAACAAAGTTCCAGTCCCCTGCACTGCTGCAACAAACATACTGCAGTGTTATCCTGATAATGTTCTTTTTTGGTTTTTCATATAATTGGAAATCAAGTATAAATGGAGAAAAATGGACAAGTCCTTGAATTACGTATTTGATTTGAACATTTTTTTATTTTAAAATCCAAGAAGTTTTAGCAACACAAGTAATTCATCCCAATCTCTGCAACTGTGTCCCTTAAACAAGGAAAATGTTTCAGCTGTTTTAAAATTGAGTTTTGAATTCTTTGATTACCTATTTCACATTACACTGCAGGGAAATTAAAATTTATGAATAAATACAACAAATAGCACCCTGTACCACAGTTTCTAAAGTTCTCAATGTGCACTTTACAGGACATTATTCAGTCAAATTTTTCAAAAGTTTTACAAATTTTCCCATGCACCACCATTATTAAAAGTATTCTACTACTCACAATTTGGAATCTGCAAAAGAGCGAACTAAACACTGGTCCTTTTTCACTGTGATGTCATCATTACAACTGGGAGATATTACCTGAAGTTTCAAATAAAATACATTGCTGTCAGGATTTACTATTCATCTTTCAAAAAAACAACCTCCCCCTTGCATAAATGCTTTCCCTTTTCTTTTACTGTAATTTACAGCTCTAGAAAAGGCAACAGTAATTAGGCATTTGCATACTCCAATTTATGTTGTAAAAATAAACTTGACAATTGAACAGCTTGGCACCAAGATGAAGTAGCAGGCAACTTCGCCCCATCCCAATAGCTGGAAACTGTCATGAGACACACCAGGGGATTTAGAATTTATCTCCTTTGATGTTAATAGTAAAGTACAGACATACTCTGAAAGTCATTCTATATAGACAGTGTCATGAATTTCATGTTTACTGACTTTTTTTTTCAAATATAGTTTGCTTAGATAAAAAAAAACAGATAAAAAACACCTCCCACCCTCAAACTTCCAAATCTTCTCATTTAAGATATTCAAAACTGGATCCTTGCCTCTCACAAAGTTAGTTTCATTTTCAGTGTTTATTTTTAGATGCATGATCGTGATCAACAATAAGATTTTTTTTTTTTTTTTTTTTTTTTTTTACAAAAAAAAAAAAAATTTTTTTTTTTTTTTTTTTTTTTTTTTACACAAAGAAACTAAAATTATTCATATTTGTTAATAACGTGAATCAGCACATTCTTCCATTATAGTCTTAACTCTAAAGGACTGAATGGTACATATTTGCATTACCAAAGTAAACATGAATCACATGGAACAAGATTATGGTTTTACAATGTCTTTTCTGGCCTTAACTGTTCTTCAGGCTCTGGAGCAATATTAACAACCACAAGTGAAATCCTACCTCTATTGAAATCAATGGGAGTTTGCCATCAAATTCAGGGCCAGGATTTCACCACAGATTACATAGATTACTTACTGCTTCTTGGTTAGCAGGGAAGCATTTCTGGTCTTCTACTTCATCTCCCAGTTATAACCATTTTTTTTAAATGGATGGCATACAAACAAAACTATATTTTGTATTCTGATGGACACAGAGATCTGTTCCCATAACAGATACGTATTGATGGAGGTTTCCAAAATCTTGATGGGCATCTCTGATGAAGTCAGTATCTGCAGCTATGCTACAGTATGCAGATAAGGACATACTTGATTCACAAAAAAACCCCCACACAGTTGAAAGAGATACCATATTTTCCTCATGTAATACATGCACTTTTTCCCCAAAAAAACAGCTGATGGAAATGTGTGTGGAGTGTGCATTTTATGCAAGAAATATGGTAAGATCAGGTTCTGGTGTTTACTGGGTGTAGCAAAGGAACCTGCAGCTTGGCGCTCTAGCTGCTGCTATTCAGTTACTTAACTACAAGGGAAAACGTTTTTTCTTCATTCTGCCTTTCAAAAACAAGATGTGCATAATATTCTAGGGCATGTTGTCTGTGAGAAGTAGCTTTTCTTCCTAATTTCACCCAAATATCTATGCTAAATTAAGTAATTGTAGCAGGTATTTTCCTTCTAGTTAGTTCCTAATATGCAACATGAATTAGCCAAATATGATGCAGCCTCAGTTAAATACAGTAAATCTAACAAAGTAATACTAAATCAGTGAGCAAAGCAAATTAATTTAGTACTTAAGCAAAAGTATTTCTAATAGTGGATAGTATCTCTGATGTAAAAGGCAATATGCATATGCAAGCAGCAAGTCAGGTACTATAAGAAAGGACTGATAAAACATCCTGTGATGCATTTCAATGTGAGCAAGTTACACTGGATTTTTTTTAATTCTGTGAAACATCTTTTTTTTAATCTTAATTTATACAGCTCAACACATTTTGGTTTTCAAGTATACTCAGAATTATTCCAAATAGTTTTGCTGGTGATAATACTCCAATAACCAGTCCCTAGAAGTCACATTACAAAAAAAAGTTCACATGTAAACATTTAGAAAATTATTATAAAACTACAGCAAATTATATTAGGTAATTCATATTTTAGACAAAGAAAAAGGCTAGTAATCGAATAAAGGATGGAGAAACATGCAGAATAAATAAGAGTCAGGTTAATAAATCTGGCTTTAAATTGCCAAGAGGTACCAATACAGTAGAAGCTGGATATAAGCATAGCCCTTGGGAGTAAGGTCCTGTGTGCTTATGTCAGGAAGTCAACCTTGCCTTCCCTTCCTCACTGCAGCAACAATATAGCCTGTAATTTAGTTTAAAGCTTGTACTTGCTTTAGCTACAAAACACACACACACAGTACTTACATGTATAGTGTCCATCACTTAAACTCCCACTGACGTTAATAAAATTATAATAAATGGCAGCACCCTATCTAAATTCTGAGATATAAGTCTGAAGCTAACTCTGCAAACTTTTTAGCCTATTTAAAAGCTAACTGTAAGAGTATTTTACTGTTTTATTACTACCAATGCACAATGCTGGCTGGCATTGGATACCACTGATAAAGGCAGAAATATGCATGGTTATAACTGCAAGTGTGCTTTTAACACGTGCTTCACAGCCAGAAAAATTCCTGGCAATGTGTTGCTTATGTATGAACTGTGCTTTTATCATGCATGCTTATACATGGCTCCAGCTGCATTAATATAATCAATTCTGTTGGGAAAATAACAAAACAAAACATCTTGAAAAAAGTCTGTATTTTTTCTAAGTAAAGCTTTTGAAGTAAATCAAATATATAAGTCTGACAATTTTAACATTATTACATTCATTTTTCTATTATTCAAATTGTGGTAGTGTTAGAGTGTTGTTGTAGCAGGGATGATCCAGGCATTATGCAAGAGGCAAGGATTTCTTAGGGTGATACCTTAGACAACCTTTCAAATGCAAGGTAGAATGTCTTGCATTCAAAAGCTTATCTAGGTCTATCCCAGCTATGCAGTTGGCCTTATAAAAGGCATCATCCTAAGAAATCCTTGCCTCTTGCATATATTGTAAAAGACAATGTATTCTTAAGGCAGACTCATGAAGGAACAGTTTTTGGTACAAAAATTGTAAGGTTTACAAGTCTCCTTGCCCAGAAAGAGAACTCCTTTTTTCCTCCATGGTAAAACAGGAATAGGACTCTTGCAATGGACTAAAAAGAACCCTCTTGCCTAAAATATATAGCATGTTTAAGGCATGCATTATGTAGTAAATATATTAAACAAGTTACTTACCAAAGCTGGATACCAGTCTGTCTTCTCAGAGCTAGACATTACACTCACAACTTTACCAAGCAATTCATCATTCAAACGTCTCTTATCTTCATCCTCTTCTTCGCTGCTTTCTTCCTCTTTTTCATCTTCAGTACTAGGGGATTAAAACAAAATATTTTAGACAGTTTTAATTTGAAAACAAGAATTAAGAAGAAATCTAACTTTTAACCAATCTTTTCCTGCTGTATGTTTCACCGAAAAAAAGAAAAAGAAAAGCATTGTATTTACTTTGGGAAAGAGATTTTCAATTAAATTTGTATTGCAGTCATATCAATGAGTCCTAGCACTACGGGTTCACCGATAAAGATTATTTGGCCCGATTATTCAGTCATATCGGCTGATACCGATCAGATTGCTGATATGCAGCCCGACAGCTTGCAGAGCAGCGTCTGGCTGGTAAGTCTGCTGAGGGGAAGGGGCATGAGGGAGGGAACAGGCTTGGGGGCACAGATAGATGAGGAAGGAAGTGGGGCTGGGGCAGGTACTGCCCAGCCAAGGTGGCGTGCAGCACACAGCCATGAGCAAGTGGCTTATCCAAAGGGCGTGGGAAGTGGTGGCTCCCACTGATGAGTGCACCCCGGGAGGTAGGGGGTACCTGTGCCCCCTGGGTCTGTGTGCAGGGTGAGGGCAGGCTGCTGCTGTGTGCTCAGGGTCGGGGGGCAGTGCTGGGCTCTTCCTGGTGTGGGGGCTGGGCCAGGCCTGCGCTCTGGGTGAAGCTGCTCTCCAAGCTGCCGGATTGCATTCCTGGTTGCGTGCATGTTGCAGCTATGCACATGGCATTTATCTGTGACACCAAAGAACTGCCTGTCAAGAATGACTGCCAGGATGCTGCCATGCCAACAGAGATGGAGGGGGGAGGGAGTATGAGGCCACCACCCCATGCCACCACCAGATCCAAGAAGTAGAGCTGGGAGTGGGTGGGGCAAGGCCAGTGCTGCTGGCTTCACCCTACTGCTCTATCCCCTCTGTCGTGGCGGCTCTCCATTCCCACCATCTTTCTCCTCGCCAACACCGCTCCATGTCCAGAACCACACCACCTCCTCCCCTCCACCTGCCCCCTCCGTCATGGTGGTGCTCCACCTTTGCCATCATTTTTGATAGGCCATTTGCCTAGCGCACAGCACTGGCTGGACCTACGCCCTGCCAGGAGCCACGCCCCCCAAGACCATTACGGGCAGACAGAGAAACACACAGACAGACAGACAGACAAAGACTTTTATATACATAGAATTATGAGCCACATCAGCCAAAAAAAGCTGATTGCCAATAATGTCAATTTTCCTTTTATCAGTGCTCATACAATATGGACCGATGTATCAGTGCACCTCTACCTAGCAGTAATCAGAAACTGATTATGCTAGATGTTGCACACATGCAGGAGAAAACAAAAGAAAGTTATGAGCCAAGGATCTTATACAGACAGCTTTCATAATATACAGTTTAAATACCTAAACAGGTTAAAAATCCTAGACAGTGAACTCAAGCTTTATGAAAAGTTTAAACATCCTGGAGCCTGACACAAATGACATTTTTTCAAATTTATGGTGATAACATACCTGTCAAATCTTGCACTGTTGTGTCACTCATACATTACTCTTCACTTGATTGGTTTATTAAATCATTTTAAGACCAAATCTTGCCTGCCTGCAAGGGGCTGCTTGGGGCTGGAGAAAGAGGAAGGAGGATGACTGGAGGCAGGGGGCCACATGCATGTCCCTGTGCACAGATGCACGCGGCACCCAGGCAGCATGGACAGCAGCTCCCTTCAGGTAAGTCTATGGAGGGGGGGAAGAGGGAGGCAGATTGAGGCCCCCACAGTGAGGGAAGGAGGGAGGGAGTAGGGCAGGGTGAGTGAAAGACACTATCACGGCTAAGGGAGTGATGAGTTGTGGGTTGGGAGTGAGGGGCACCTGGGGAGATGTGGGGAGCTGCAGGTTGGGAGTGTGGGGCACTGGCAGGATCAGGAGGCTGCAGTTGTGTGAGGGGTATGGGCAGAGCCAGGGGGCTGTGGGTCGGAGTGAGGGGCACCAGCATGGCCTGGGGGAGATGGGGACTGCAGGTTGGGAGTGAAGGGTACCAGCAAGGCTGTGGGGGCTGTGGGCCAGGAGTGAAGGGCAATGGCAGGGGCAGGGCACCGGCATATCAGGGCTGCTCAGAACCACAAAGCAGGGGGGACAGCTGCAGCTGGACCCATGTCCTGGTGAGCAGAGGGAGCTCTGATTTTCTATGATAAAAAACTAAAATCAAATGCTAAAATATACAGGTATTAAGAATTTATTTTATTATAATGACTGAGGCACTGGTAAGCTTCTAAATTACTTTTAAATTGTAATTATATGAATAAAACATTGTGTTCAACTGATACCTATATCTATAGCTATTTATCTATCTATCTATATATATAGCTTTGTATGTATAGCTTTGTATATAGATATAGACAGAGAGAGATAGAGATAGATACATATAGTGGCATTTCATTTAAATTGCAAAAAAACGTGGATCGGGGGGTTAATCAGAGAAGTTACGATTTTTAAACTAAGAAAACCAGGATCCCTCCTCATTTGTAGTACCACTGAAGTACAAAGGCCATCATGCCCCTGAAAACATTAGTAAAGTACTAAAAAGTAGCAACATATAGCATTATGAAAACTCACACAGGAAGAGAAGATCGCCTTCCCCTGTTGGATTTCTTCCCAATAACCGGGGTTCCAAAGTGCTCTGGATTTGTTAATGGTAGTTGGTCAAGTGTCTAGGAGAAAAGGTGAATAACAAGTTGGTTAGTAATTTTTTCATGATATAAGTTTTTACTTCCTAGCTTCAAGGAAAACCATCTTCTCTTTACCTCACTTTCTGCAAAGTGTCTTTCTCCTTTTAAGCATAATGAAGTTCTCCTCAATGTCCTTTCATCACCATCATCAAAAACTAGAACAAAACCAAAGGCAAAGATATTGGTACAAGATGAACAGTTTTATTTAGCCTGTTTAACTGAATGGCTTATTTGCTATTCTAAACTGTAAATGAAATAGCTCTCTTCAACATGGTTCTGGTTAGATTCTTCTTGGGCTCACAATCAGAAAGAAGTCCGGCAGTCAAGAGTCGAGAGTAGAAAAACATTCTGGCAAGTTTGCAATGGCTTTGAATCAAACCAGGTTCTCAGCTAGAACAGTCTCTTATCAATATATTGCACTACTTCAGGCCACAGATACTGGCTGCCTGCCAATTATTGTTCACATCTAACATTCCCAGTTGGGTTGAAACACCCAATTATTTCTGATTTATGCTGGAACAGTCTCCCAACCTGTTTCTGTTGCCATGGAATATGTCCACTTGCATACGCAGTGTCGAAATGCTGCCGGTGGGAAGAAAAATACACACAGACGTTTCTGTTACAACATCAAGCAACATGCTACTGGACACACCGAAGCACTGGAAATCCATGTCTAGCAGTATGTTCATATCTGATCTGGTCCATATTAGACATTTTGTTCACATATATCCAGAAGAAAGTGCTCTCTATTTGCCAAATACACCCCAAAAAGATAAGAAAAGAATAAAGCTGTTACAATCCTGGATTAAAGTATGCTGACACTTGCCGGCAATATTGTTAATACTTTCGCAGTTAAACTTAAATCACAACTTCTTCCAAAAACTAGAATTTTACCTCTAAAAGTCTCTTACAAGTATAAATAAACTCAGTATCTGTGAGCGAGGGTAAGGGTGTACTTTAAATTTCATTAAAATGTGTATGTGATTAACTAAAGTGCCCTTGGGATTGGGTTCTGGGACTGGTTTTGTTCAATATCTTCATCAACAACTTGTAAGATGGGATGGAGTGCACCTTCCACAAGTTTGCAGATGACACCAAGGTGAGGGGAAAAGTAGATACACTGGAGAGTAGGGCTAGGATTCAGAAATACCTAGACAAATTTGGAGGATTAGACCAAAAGAAATCTCATGAAGTTCAATAAGGAGAAGTGTAAAGTCCTAAATATATGACAGAAGAATCCCATGCACCAGTACAGGCTAGGGACTGCCTGGCTAAACAGCAGCTCTGCAAAAAGGACCTGGGGGTTACAGTGGATAATCAGCTGAATATGAGCCAACTGTGTGCCCTTGTTATGAAGAAGGTTAATGGCATACTGGGCTGCATTAGTAGGAGCACTGCCAGCAGATCAAGAGAAGTGATTATTCCTTGCTATTCAGCACTAGTGAGGCCACATCTGGAGTACTATATCCAGTTTTGGGCCCCCCACTACAGAAAGGATGTAGACAAATTGGCAAGTCCAGCAGAGGGCAATGAAAATGGTTAGAGGGTTGGGGGACATGACTTATGAGGAAAGGCTTAAGAAACTGGGTTTATTTAGCCTGGAGAAAAGAAGACTGAGGGGGGCGGGGTTTAACAGTGGCCCTCAACCACCTGCAGGGCAGTACCAAAGAGGATGGAGTTGGACTGTTCTCAGTGGTGGCAGATGACAGGACAAGGAGCAATGGCCTCAAGTTGCAGCAAGGGAAGTTTAGGTTGGATACTAGAAAAAACTCTCTCATGAGGAGAGTAGTAAAGGACTGGAACAGGTTACCCAGAGAGGTGGTAGAATCTCGATCCTTGAAGATTTTTAAGATCCAGCTAGACAAAGCCTTGGCTGAAATGATCTAGTTGGGGATGGTCCTGACTTGAGCAGGGGGGTGGACTAGGTGACTTCCTGAGGTACCTTCCAACCCTAATTTTAGAACCATAGAAAATTAGAAAACTCACCCTTCTATATGAGTCTATGAAAGTTTGCAATTCTGTAGAATTTTGGTAGTTCTAATTTCAAATTCCTAGGTCCTGATGCAGAAGACAAGTCATTTGTACAAATCCTTGTCAATGTGCTTTCACAACCTTTCACTTATTTTTCCCCCTCCAACAACCAATCCTTCCATTTTTTATTTTGCTAAAGGATGACTTGGTACCACTCACCACCTTTCCATCTCTCAATTTATTCTGCAAAAAAACAGAAGTGCTGACTTTTTGTTTTTATTCGCTAAAAGTAACAACTCCTTCTGGTTCTCCATCCAACAATTCTCCGTCAACCAGTTACATTCCAAATCCAAGATAACCAGTACCTCCACTACTGATCTTCAATATGTTGATTGTGTTGTATGTACCCAACTGAAGAGCTTTACATCATTCTTGATTGATTCTGTTAAGTGTAGGAAATGCTTAGGCTGTCAACTTAACAAAAACAAAGATCTTTTACCAACCCACCCCAAACAAAGCAGCAGCTCTCCTCCACACATTGCAATCAGATGGCAATCCTTGGTGAATGTTTAGCACTTCCTCTACCTAGGTAGCCACCTTTCCCCAAAAGTAAACACAGACATCAATATTCAACACTGGATGAAATCTGCCAGTGCTCCCTTTGGATAGCTCCAAAATCCTGTCTTCAATGATCATGATATCAGGACCCAAACCCATCTCCTCCACCAGGCTGCTGACATTTTCTTTTTTTTATGTGCCGGGACACTGGGGCCGGACAGGGCAGCCGTAGACAGGGCTGGGAGAGTGGGTAGGGGTCAGGGGGCGCTCAGGGGGGCTGCAGGAGCAAGCAGGGGATGGGGCCTGGTGGGGGTCCCCCCATGGTGTCCCCCCCACACACATTTACCAGCACGGAGCCCAGGTTCAGTTCCCTGCGGCAGCAAGCATGGACTGCCCGAATCTCTGAATCTTTTCAAAATCAATTCAGAGGCCTTGAATTAATTCAGACCTTTTAATTGGTCTCCCGATTCGATTCGGAGGTTCAGCTGCCGAATTGGGCTGAATCTCCTCCGAATCCAATTAGCAACCAAAGCTTCACACAGCCCTAATTTTTAGTATGACAAGACTGAGGCCAAATGACAGACAGCCTCCACACTAGACTGTGGCTCCTGAGCCACAAGTGATTCTTCCACTTAACACCTGAGGCTCCTGGTAGAAGTTTGTTTGATTTTTTTTTAACAGATTAATTTTATTATATTTTGAACAGCAGTGTGTATCACAGTTCACCTAGGAGCTGCTGCTGTTTGGTGAATGCTGACTACTCTGGTGGCTCCTGAGATCGACAAGATTTGAGTGTCATCATTTTAAAGCACTGGTTCCTCCCAACCTTTTTACCGCAGCCCAGCAGGAGTGGGATGGAGCGTGCAGAGCCGGCTGCCTCCCTCCCGGGGCTCCCCCACTGCCCGGCTTTAACCCTGGAAGCACAGCCGTGACCCCAGAAGCCGCTCACCCAGGCAGACAGATGGGGGTCTGAGCAGGAGGCTCATGCCACAACCAAAAAGCCAACCTGCCATGGCCTGGTGGTTGGGAACCTCTGCTTTAGAGGATGTAGACTGCTTAGTTTACAGTTTTGTAAAGCACAAAAGAAATACCATTTCCTTCCCAAGCATGTCTCGCCAATCATTCAATTAAACCACTCAACTTCCACTTGTAGTGAAGACCAACAAGATCCTACCACCCAGCAAGAACATTGTATATACTGAGCAATGAGCAAAACAGTAACCAAGCATGTAAATAAGAGGTAGTGTATTTCATTAACAGTTAAATACATCTGAGGGAGCTTGTGACATAAATAGGAAATAATGTGCTAGCAAGATCTCTTTTCCTGGCTAGAATAAAACCTGTGGGTTAGAAAGTTATAAATAGCCAATTCCATGTTCCCTTTCTAAAGTATCACAGTGAATGTTTGGAAATTTCAGAGTTTAAATTTCATTTTCACAAGCACTGCATCAAAATTGCCTCCCTCACTTTGAGCAGAGGAAGTTAGGATAATTAACACTTAAGGAGCTTAAACATTACACCTCCCCCACCCACCACCACACCTATTGCCTAATATCCTTTGGCACTAGAATCCTTTGGTATTCAACCCTTTTTCCCCATATTCTCAAAGCTTCAAAACTCGAATAAAGGCAAGACATCCCTTCTTTCTGACAGGTAGATCTTATTCTGCAAGTCTGGTGTCCCTCGGCCAGCTACACAAGCATCTCAGACCAGCATAACCGCTTGTCTTTTACAACAGAGGGAGTAAACACTAAGCTGTTCTGTAACCTGCAATGCCGAAATAGGGAGGAGCTGGAAGAGCCCAGGGCTCTACGAAGTGAAGTGCTGGAAGCAGAACCATTATTTCTGAAGGGCTAATACTTTGACTCACCCTCCTTTTCCTGTGTCCTCTCCATAGGTGACCTCCATATGTGGTCTCAACTATCTCCCCTCCATTCGTGAAGCCTCAAGGGTACTTCAGGGAAGGAAGGTGAAGGAATAAGAGTTCTCAGATCTCCAGCAGAACAAGCAATTTGGTTAAGAGCTAAACAAGGGAAAAGGGGGAGGGGGAGACTCTATTCAGCAACCATGTGGGATTCTCCAGCCTGGAGGCAAAGGAAATGCACGGCAGGGCTTAAGAGTGCATGATCCCTTCAATTTAATCTCCAAGTTACAAGCTCTATCTTCACTCTGTTCAGGCATATCTAGAACTGAAAGTTTTTCAAACTAAAAGAATGGTTTACAGAAAGGACTTGAGATATATAAACAAGCTGAGCAAAAATTTATCAAGTCTGTCTTCACTCCAACCTGTAGCTTCCATAAATACTTCAGCTAAACAGTAAGAGAGACTGCTTTTCAATAGTTATTATAAAACAAAGCTTTAAAACACTGTCTAATCTAGCAGGTATAGACTGAGAGACAGAAGAATCTCATAAAATTATTAATACAAAAAACTGAAATCCTTTCTGCGAGTACAGGACAGTAGACAAATATTTTAGTTCTTTGGGAACAAGGAAAAGGGGGTTGGGAGTTGTGTGAGGAGCAAAAAAGGGTGTCAAAGTTGTTAAAAATAAAGTGGTTCTCGTTAAATAACTTCTAATGACAAAATTAAACCTTTCTGTTCATAGAAAGCATTTATAAGTCTAGG